CCCATCCACTCCCCTCCTCTCCATATCCCTCAATCCCATCCCATCCATCCTTTCCTCTCCATATCCCTCAAACCCACCCACTCCACTCCCCTCCTCTCCATATCCCTCAATCCATCTCATCCATCCTCTCCTCTCCATATCCCTCAAACCCACCCAGTCCACTCCTCCTCTCCATATCCCTCAAACCCACCCAGTCCACTCCTCTCCACACCCGTCAACCTTGCTCCTTTCCATCCCACCTACCCAGCTGTCGGTGACAGATGGCTGCTGGGAGATTTGAGGCACCTGGTTTCACTGAGCTCTGTGTCATCTTTCAGGTGGACCCTTGCTCTATGACCGGGTAAAACTTGTCTATGACTCGCAGCAAATGAACGGGAGCCAACGAGTGCTCCTTGACGATGTGATCACTGCACAGGAATGCCGCGAGCTGTTCCACTTGGCCAGTGTGAGTGTCCCAAGGTTTTGTTGGTGTTTCGCATGTGTCTGTCCCACCTGGAACCTTTCTTTCCCCCTAACCAAGTTGTCCATATTTTCACAGTCCATTGCACTGGCGGGAGATGGTTACAGAGGCAAGACATCACCACACACACCTAATGAGCGCTTTGAAGGAGCAACTGTCTATAAGGCCCTTGTGGTGAGCAAACATTCTGGAGTTCAGGTTCTTCAACAATACCTTCCACACCCATGACCACTACCATCAGGAAAGACCAGGGCAGTAGTTGCATGGGAACACCACCATCTACAAGTTGCCCTTCAAGCCACACAGGATCCTGACATGGAAATATATCACTATTATTTAACTTAACTTGAACTAATGACAGAGGGAAGAAAGAATTACTAACGTGCGACATTAACTATATCTGTAAGATCGTAAGCCCAAAGGACATAGGAGCAGAATTAGGCAATTTGGCCCATCGAGTCTGTTCCGCTGTTTGATCAATGCTGATTCTCTTGCCTTCTCCCCATAACCCTTGATCCCTTTACTAATCAAGAGCCTGTCTATCTCTGCCTTAAATACATTCAATGACTTGATCTCCATAGCCTTCTGTGGTGGAGTTCCACAGATTCACCACCCTCTGGCTGAAGAAATTCCTCCTTATCTCCATTCTAAAGGGTCATCCCTTCACTCTGAGGCTGTGCCTTCATGTCCTAGTCTCTCCTAATAGAGAAACATCTTCTCCACGTCTGCTGTATCCAGGCCTTTCAGCATTCTGGAAGTTTCAATCAGATCCCTCCTCATTCTTCTAAACTTCATCGAGTACAGATCTAGAGTCCTCAACCATTCTCATTACAAGCCCTTCATCCCCGGGATCAGGCTTATAAACCTCTTTTGGAATCTCTGTAACACCAAATACAGAGCCCAAAACTGCTCACAACATTCCAAATGTGGCTTGACCAGAGCCTTATACAGCAGTACATCTCTCCTTGTATATTCCAGTCCTCTTGAAATGAATCCTAACTGCCACCTGAACCTGCATGTTAAGCTTAAGAGAACTTGAACTAGGACTCCTCAGTCCCTTTCTGCTTCAGATTTCCAAAGCCTTTCCCTATTTAGAAAATAGTGTACACCTCCTATTCTTCCCCGCAAAATGCGTAACCTCACACTTTCCCACATTGTGTTCCATCTACAACTTCTTTGCCCACTCTCCTAGCCTATCCAGGTCCTTCTGTAGCTTCACCAGTTCCTCATTTACCTGTCCCTCCACCTATCTTTTGAGTCATCTGCAAACTTAGCCCTAAGTTCTTTCAAAACCCAGAACACACACACACTTTCTCACCATTAAGATGGGTTAAAGACCAATAGTTTAACATGTTTACTATGGATGGAAAAATAATATTGACAGGGTAAGCAAAATTCTGAAGATTACAAGTCCAGATTTGAAGTGTGGGTTAAATTGTTCCTTTTTATTTATCACTGATGACACATTGCTGTATGTTGGGCAATAGTCTCTCTTTAATTAACCAGTTGATGAGTGGACTTAGGTCTTGTTAAATTTCTTTCTTTTAAGCTTTTCTGTCTTTAACTCCACATGGAGAGAGAGTGGGAGAGATTGATGCTTTCTGGTTGCAGGCTCTGGATGTTTCTTTCTGCTGTCCTGGTTTTAAACACACTACAATGCAGTGTTGCTCAGGGCTGTTGTCAGGCCGAATTTCCTTAACTCAGTGGATTCTTGGTGTGACTCAGTATTTAATGCTACTTCTTATTGTATCAGAAAGCAACATTGTATTGCATGGATCAACAGGAATACCTCAGGGAGTGTCCTAGGCCCAATGATCTTCAGCTGCTTCATCAATCAACTTCCCTCCATCATAAAATCAGAAGTAGGAGTCTGAGTTCAGGATTGCACAATGTTCAGGATCATTTGTGACTCCTCAGATGCAGAAGCAGTCCGTGCCCAAATGCAGTCAGACCTGGACAATATCAACCTTTGGGCGGATAAACATCAAGTAACATTTGTGCCACACAAGTGCTAGGCAATGACCATCTTCAACTAGAGAGAATCTAACCATCATCCCTTGACATTCAATGGCATCACTGCCACTGAATCCTCTAATATCTACGTCATGAGGGTTACAATTGACCAGAAACTGAACTCTTGTAGCCACAGTATTTTTATGGCTATAAGAGCAGGTCAGAAGCTAGGACTGCTGCAATCAGTAACTCACCTCCTGACTCCCAAAAGCTTGTCCATGATCTACAAGGCAGGAATCAGGAGTGTGATGGAATACCCCCCCACTTGCCTGGATAAGTGCAACTCCAACAACACTCAAGAAGCTTGACACCATCCAGGACAAAGCAGCCTGCTTGATTGGCACCACATCCCCAAACATTCACTCCCTCCACCACCAAGGCTCAGTAGCAGCAGTGCGTACTATCTACAAGATGCACTGCAGAAATTTACCAAAACTCCTTAGACAGCACCCTCCAAACAAATGAGTACGTGCATCTAGAAGGACAAGGGCAGCCGATATATGGGAACATCACCACCTACAAGTTCCCGTCCAAGCCACTCACCATCGTGACTTGAAATATATTGCCATTCTTTCACTGTCACTGGGTCAAAATCCTGGAATTCCCTCGCTATGGTCATTGAGAGTCTACATACAGCACATAGGCTATAGGGGTCCAAGAAGGCAGCTCACCACCACCTTCTCAAGGGCAACCAGGGATGGACATTAAATCTAGCTCAGCCAATGATGCTGACATTCTAGTAATAAATAGTAATTTAGAAAATGATAGCACATGATTTTCAAGTCCTAAAACTCTCCTCTGATTTCCGTTATAGCAATCCAACTTCCTTTTCAGATCATAGCCCCATATTTAAAAATAAAATAATTTTGTCTCTTACTGCACTCCCCAGCCCAACACCAGTGTCCAGTTTCAAGTTGAAACTGTCTCCTGTTTCTCTCCCTGACTGAGACTATTTGTAGACCAATTATTGTTTGAGGGAAGGGAAGAAGAGATTAGAACATTTGCTCAGTGCACGTTGGATTGAATGACTTTTCTATTTGAAGCAATGTTCCACTTGTACTCCATGCAACCTGATCCTTTGAATGTTGATAATTCCACTCCTCTCTTTCAGTATGGCTATGAAGGTCGGATCCCATTGCACAGAGCCAGGTTATTCTACGACGTTAGTGAAAAGGCTAGGAAGATTATTCAATCCTATTTCTTGTTGAACTCCACACTTTACTTCTCATACACTCACCTCGTCTGCAGAACAGCTATCGAAGGTGAGGGTCCTTTGTGTAGACAGTGAATGACGACAGACCATGTCTTCAAAGAATGAGTGAAGACTTTTGCGACAAAGTAATTGTCAAAGATGAAGTTCCATTGCGGTGAACCCAGAGTGGGAAAGCTGTGACTGAGGACTGGGTTGATGTATCAATTGATTGAGTGGAAATGAGAGTAACTGGGATTATTCTCTTAAGAGCAGAGAAGGTTAAGGCAGGTATTGAACAGATCAAATTTAAAATCGCAAGGGGTTCTGATAAAGTAAATACAGAGAAAATGTTTGCAGTGGAAGGGGGGTTGGTGAATAGAAGGGCATAGATCAAAGAAAATCAGCAAAGAACCACAGTGATGGATGAGAAGTTTCTTTTTATGCTGTCATTTTTTTTTTGTTTTATTCAATCATGGGAGTGACATGTAGATTTTGTTCCCTAATGAAGTTTTACAACAATCGGCAGTGATTACACAGTCGCCATTAGGTTAGCTTTTTATTCCACTTCTCTTTTTCAATCTATCATGGTGAGATTCAAATCCACATTCCCAGAACAATGGCCTGAGGTTCTGAACGAGCTGTCCCAGTGATATTATCACTCTGCCACCACCAAACCCAATGCTGCGATGGTTTCAATACACTGCCTGAACAGCTGGTGAGTATAGGCACAGTGGGATCTTTCAAAGAGTCATCACAGGATTAATGGGCTAAATGACCTCGTATGACATATTGCTGTTTGTATTGTCGGATGCAGAGCATTTGCGACTAACCCCACACATTTCCAGCACTCAGAAACCGTCCCCTCCCCCAAGGCTGGCTACAACTGCTGCATTTGGCAATTTCCTAGGGAAAAACAGATGTGTTGTGTAAACCATCAGTGACCCTTTACTGGCTTACTGCAGTCACTAGATTCTCACTATCTGAACTGCAGCTGGAAAACGTATCATGAAATTGTGCATGCCATTGCCTGTGTCAGCGTGGATTAGTCTGTAGCGTTTTCTAAGAAGCACACTTCAAACAAAGGCTCAGCAGCTCAAAACCCAGCTATTGTTGACTAGAGAGACTTATAGTGGCTGCAGCTTTTTGTGTTGAGCACATCAGGACAGTTTGCAAGAATGCCAAATTTCAAATAATTACAACAGTTTATACTGCAGGAGAAAGGTTTTTTTTCATTGTTTGATAAGCTAGTCTATCACTGTTGCTTTCTCCATGGCAACCCCGTAACTAAGCAGAGATGATTTGCCAATCAGTCAGCACCTTTTTATGTATAAAATTGTTGCGAATGAATTGAATTTTGGCATTTTTGCATTCTTCCTGATCAATGTAAGGCAAAAAGCTTCAGCAAAATCTCTGTCTTCAGCGTCTACACAAGACTTCATGAAGGAAATATTGGCCGGAGTGCAACACAGATTCAACAGGATCATCCCGGGTTTTAAAGGGCTCTATTGTGAGGACAGATTCATAAATTAGACTCGGCTTTTAATGCAGTTAGAAAATGAATAGATTGTCTAAAAACAACAGAGAACCAGCTAGTTAAACCAGCATGTGTTTGCCAATTTTTGAATTGAGCAATGTAATTAATTGCAGTGCTCTAGCTTGCTCCTCCCCATGTTCCCTTCAAATATTTATCCAGAACATAACATGTTGCGTGAGAAAATTCACTTCCTTGTGTCCTGCCTGGTTCAGGAGCGAATACTGCTCCATCAGTGTCCCTCTGGTTACTGAGCCCCTACAACTGCAAACATTGGCTCCTTATTTACTCAATCACAAACTCCAGTCTCGGCACATAATCATCTCTCTCTTCCCTGCAGCCATTCTCCCCACTTTCTTCTGCACACTCTCTGAGGTCTTCATGTAGCTTCAAAAGAATGTGACCCAGAATTGGACACAATCTTCCAGCTGTGGCTTTCCTAACGTTTTACCCCAAATTGAGGTGTTTATAATGGTCACCATGCTGGGAAGACACGTCGATGTCAAATTTCTCACGTGTTGGTATTTCTAATAGTTGGTGTTCCTGCCTTTTCCTGTCCTGAGGTGTAGGTCTTCCCACATGTTGGAATGCCTGCTTATCTCTGCATGTTCCTGCATACCAGTGGGGTTGTTGCCTGATCATTGAGCTCGAAAAATGCCATGAAATTGGAGCTTTTCAAATTTGATCAGAGAAAATGAGTTGTAAGAAGGGAGTGTGAGTACACAATCAGATCATTCATGATCTTATTGAATGGCTGAGCAGGTTCAAGGGACTGAATAGCCTACTCTTGCTCTCAATTTGTATGTACGTGTGTCAATTAAAGAGCGTTGTGTTCAGGCAGTTCAGAGAGCTGGAGTGGACAGACATTAGATTTCACTAAGTAGGATGTGCAGTGGACTAACATCTTGAACATATCTTCCAGGCCAACAAGACAATCGTAATGATTTGAGCCACCCAGTCCATGCCGATAACTGCCTTCTTGACCCAGACGCCAATGAATGCTGGAAGGAACCACCAGCTTACACTTACAGGGACTACAGGTAATGGGGTGTATCATCAACTGTGTGCCTATAGGGGTTCACAGTAGCAGGGTGTTCCATCAACTGCATGCATACAAGAGTCAACAGTGGGGTGTACCACTATCTATGTGCCAGTGTGGATTACTGGAAGTGCTGCCAAATGTGTAATCTTGAGAAAACTGAAAGAACTATGGATGCTGGAAATCAAACAAAAACAGAAATTACTGGAGAAGCTCAGCAAGTCTGGCAGCATCTGTGGAGAGAAATCAGAGTTAATGCTTCGGGTCCAGTAACCCTTCAAGGGTCACTGTATGTGTGTGTGTAATCCTGAGAGTTTGATCACATGGTGTGTGAATATTGTTGCCTTTCCCATGTCGGATTGAGTCTGCTGTAGTGAATTATTTTCACACACTGTGTTGTGGTGAAGATTTCTCTGAACCACACTGAGCGGTAGCGTGAGAAACAGTGGACTCTGTTATTTCTCACAGCTCCTGATTATGACCCATCATTTACCAACTCTCCCTGCGCCTGGATTCAACTCAGCTAGGATTTTATAGTGAGGGAAATTTCAGCACAGGATATTTAGGCTCTGTTCCTGTAAATAACTTCAACCGTTCACTCTCTCATCCTACCAAGATCAATGATTTACTTTTATTCCTACTTGGAATGTGGGAATCACTGGCTAAGCCAACATTTATCCCGAATCACACTTCAGAAGGTGATGATGAGTTATGGTTTGATTGGCTCTCTGGACTACTTCAGAGGGCAGTTAAGAGTCAACCACATTGCAGTGGGACTGAAGTCACATATAGGTCAGGCCAGGTAAGGATGGCAGATTTCATTCTCTAAAGGACATTAGTAAACCAGATTATGGTCCTAACCCGAAACCTCAACCTCAACTTTCCTGCTCCTCTGATCTGCCTGGCCTGCTGTGTTCCTCCAGCTCCACACTGTATTATCTCTGACTCCAGCACCAGCAGTTCTTACTATCTCTGGGTTTATGGTAAACTGGTTGTTTCATGACCAACAACATAGTGTAATTGAGGTTGTTGAGGTTGGTTGGCTCGCCGAGCTGGTTTCTTGTTTCGCAGACGTTTCTGCCAAGTGAGGCAATCCATCTCAACGGACCCCAGATTTAAAAACCAGGCGGGAAAACCCACTGACACTTCATTGGAGGCTGCACTGAGGATGTTACCAAGCATGGTAACGAAACGTCTGCGAAACAATAAACCAGCTCGGTGAGCCAACCAACCTCAACACCCACAACCCGAGCTACAAATCTACTCCAAAACCTTATAAACATAGTGTAAACTACCATCTTATGAGGTGGAAGTGGCCAGTGAATGATGTGAAATGAGTTTTTATTCCATATTTATGAATAAATCTAAATTCATTGGCTTCTGCAGTAGGATTTCAACTCCTGACACCACTGTTATATCCATCTGTCTCCCCTCCTGGTTATATTGTCTGTTTATCTTTAACTGCATATTTTCCCCCTTCTCCAGTGACCTGTCTGTATTCCTTTGTCTCCAGTGCTATCCTGTACCTAAATGGGGATTTTGAAGGAGGTGAATTTATCTTTACCGAAATTGATGCTAAGACCATCACGGTGAGTACGATGCATATGACCATGAGTAATGAGCAGTATTTGTTGTCCATTTGTACCTTCTGACGGGTGAATAATCCTGCTGGGTAATCTGAGCACTTCCTCATTCAGATTTGCACCAGTAGATTCTGAACATGGAATTATACCTCAGTGATGCTTCTTAACATTCCTACACCACCTCAGCCACTCCTGCTCTGGAAGGATAGGCTGACTGGGTCAGCAGACCCCTTGCTCCAAGATACTTTGATTCACTCCCAATTCAGAGTGCAGTGAGCATCACCTGTGTCTGATCATGAAGGGTTTCCAACTGAAGTAAGTTTAGAATTGACTTGAACTGAAGTGGCTATTTGGGAATGCATTGACAGGCTGCTCAAAGTTAGATCAGAATAATAATATTTCCTGACAAAGGAGCAATGGCCACTATCCTCCAAACTCAAATACATAACATGATTAAGTAGAGTCAGTATGGCTTCTGACAAGTTTACTGGAATTCTTCGAAGTGGTAAACAAGCAGGATATTTAAAGGGGAAGCAGTGGATTTAATATATTAGGATTTTTGGAAGGCATTTGATAAGGTACCTTATCGCTTGTAAGGTTACTTATAAGATAAAACATTGTGTTGAAGGTAGTGTATTAACATGGATAGAGGATTGGCTGACTAATAGAAAACAGAGAGTTGGGATAAAAGGGTTATTTTCAGCATGGCCAATTGTAACTAATGGAAGGATCAGTGCTTCCACAGTTATTTGCAGTTTGTATTAATGACTTGGATGCAGAAAGTGAATATACTAAAGTTTGCACATGACATAAAAATAGGTGGGAAGACAAGTGGTAAGGATGACACAGAGGAATACGAATGGTTAAGTGAGTGGGTGCAGTCTTGGCAAATGTAATATAATGTGGTAAAATGTGAGGTTATGCACTTTGGTAGGAACAGTAGAAGAGCTAAATATTATTTAAATGGAGGAATACTGCAGAAAGCTACATGAGAGAAATTTGGGAGTCCTTGGGCATAAATCACAAAAAGCTAGGATGAAGTTCATTAGGAAATAGGGAAAGCAAATAAAATGTTGGCCTTCACTTCAAAGAGAATGGAATATAAAATTAGGGAGGCTCTGCTACAACTATTCAGGGCTGTATTCAGGCCACAGTTGGAATACTGTGAACAAATTTGGGCCCCTTTTCTAAGGAAAGATATACTGGCATTGGAGGCAATCCACAGAAGGTTCACTTGGCTGACACTCGGTAGGAGGTACTGTCTTATGAGGAGAAGTCGAGTAGTTTGGGCTTATACTCATTTTAATTTAGAAGAATGAGAGGTAACTTCAGTGAGACATATAAGAGACTTAGGGGACTTGACAAGATAGATGCAGAAAAGTTGTTTCCCTTGTGGGCAAGTCTAGGGCACAATCTCAAATTAAGGGTCACACATTTAAAACAGAGAAATAAGGAGGAATTTCTTCTCTCAGGGGAGTGAATCTGTAGAATTTTTTACTACAGAGGGCTGTTGAGACTAGTTTACTAAGTATATTCAAGGCTGAGATAGACAGATAGTTAACCAGTAAGGGAATCGAGGGATATGGCAAAAAGGCAGTAGAGTGGAGTTGGAGATTATTAAATCAAACATGATTTTATGGAGCATACTTGATGGGCTGAATGGCCTGGTTCTGCTCCTCTATATTATTGGCATATGTCAAATATTGTAGAAGAGGGCTATGAGCTTGGATGTTACTGATGGGGAAGGGTGTGGACTGGAGATAGTGTTTGGCCTGAACTGAGACGTACTTGACGCCTTATCATTGAGGTCAGACAGAAACAGAGGGAAAACTCTCCACTGGTTGGGGTCATACCCGGAACAAGGAAAGATGGTTGTGGTTGCTGGCGGTCAGTCTTCTCAGCTCCAGGCCATCTCTGCAGGGGCCTCTCAGGGGAGTGTCCTACGGCCCAATCATCTTCAGCTGCTTCCTCAATGACCTGCCTTCCATCATAAAGTCAGAAGTGGGGGATGTTCACTGATAACTACATAATGTTCAACAGCATTCATGATTCCTAAGATATTGAAGCAGTTAATGTCCAAATGCAGCAAGTCTCAGACATTATCCAGGTTGAGGCTGACAATTGAAAAGTAACATTCATGGCACACAACTCCTAAGCAAAGATCATCTCCAGCAAGACAGTGTCCAACAACTGCCCCTTGAATTCAATGGCATCCTTATCATTGAATCACCCCCTATTGACATCCTGGGAGTTACTACTGACCAGAGCTGGACAGGGCTAGTTGTACAAATACAGTGGCTATCATGTCTGACTAATTTATTCTATATTTTTCAAGGAAGTCTCAACCAGAGTGGATAGAGGGGAACTAGTAAATGTATTTGGACTTACAGAAGGCAATTGACAAAGTACCTCACAAAAGGTTAAGTCATAAGATAAGAGGTGACAATGTTTGAGGTAGTATATTGGTATGGATAGCAAATTAGCTTATGGGCAGAAAACAGTGGGCGGGGCTAAAGGTTCTTTATCAGATTGGCAACCTGTGACCAGTGGGGTTTCGCAGGAATCAGTGCTGAGACTGCAACTGCTTACAATATATATTAATAACTTGGAGGAAAGAATGTACTGTAGCCAAATTTGCACATGACACAAAAATAGGTGGAAAGGCAAGTTGTGAGAGAGATCCAGCACTTTATAGAGAGACATTGAGAGGTTAAATAAGTGGGCACAAAATACACCAATGGAGTATGATATGGGAAAATATGTGGATGTTCATTTTGGAAGGGAGAGCAATAGAACAGTATTATTTAAATGTAGAAAAACTGCAGAATGCTGCAACACAAAGGGTCTTGGGAGTACTTGTGCACAAAACACAGAAAGCTAACGCACAAGTGCAGTAGGTAGTCAGGAGGCTAATGGAATGTTAACCCTTATTTCAAGGGAGTTGGAGTATAAGAATAGGGAAGTCTTACTGCAACTGTGCAAAAGGCTAGTAAGACCACATCTGGAATACAGTGAGCAGTTTTGGCCCCCTAATTTAAGAAAAGGTTGGAGGGCAGTTCAGAGGAGATTCACCAGGATGATCCCTGGTTTGGAGGTCTTATGAGCAAAGGTTAAACAGGCTTAGCAAAACTCTAACTCATTGGAATTCAGAATCATGAGAGGCAATTTTATTGAAACATATGGGATTCTTAAAGGGGCTGAATAGGGTAAATGCTGATAGGATTGTTCCACTCAAGGGAGAATCTAGGACCAGAGGGCATAGTCTCAGAATAAAGAGGTCCCAATTTAAGACAGGGACAAGGAGGAATTTCTTCTGAGGGTTCTGAGTCTTTAGAACTCCTCGCCACAGAGAGCTGTGGGGATACAGTCCTTGTGTATATTTAACACTGAGATAAATAGATTCTTTATCAGGAGAGGCATCTAGAGTTAGAGGGAAAGGGCAGGAAAGTGGAGAGGAGGAGTGTTGGATTGGCCACGGTCCTATTGAATGGGGGAGCAGATCCAAGTAGCTGAACAGTCTGCTTTTGTTCCTATTTCTAATGGCCTGATGATTAGCATCAGGTCAGAAGTAGGTTTCATACAGCGATTAACTCACCTCCTGACTCCCTAAAGCCTGTCCAGCATCTCCAAGGCACAGGTCAGGAGTGTGATGAAATACTCTCTACTTACCTCAACAACACTCAAGAAACTTGACATCATACAAGACAATGCAGCATACTTAATTGACACCACATCCACTCCCTCCACTGTCGATGCTCAGGAGCAACAGTGTATACTATCTACGGGAGATGCACTGCAAAATTTCACCACAGATCCTTAGACAGCATCTTCCAAATGCACAACAAATTTCATCTAGAACGAGAAGGGCAGCAGATGCATACCACCACCTCCATGTTTCCTTCCAAGCCAGTCACTATCCTGAATTGGAAATACATTACTGTTCTTCCAGTGTCAATGGGACTAAATCATGAACTCCCTCACTCATGGCATCTTGGGTCTACCACAAGGCCTGTACCAGTTTGATGAAGGCAGCTCACCACCACCTTCTCTTGGGGCTGTTGGGGATGGGCAATAAATACAGGCCCAGAAGGCAAAGCTGATATCCCCTGAATGAATTATTTTAAAAAGTATGAATCTAGGAACTTAGAAAAGTGTATTCCTCTTTTACAGAAGAGGCTGGTTTTCTGGTTGATGGGGTCTGATATATTTGTTGGAATGTTTGTTACAATTAGTTTTTGATGCATGTTTAGCCTCTGATTCTTTGGCCTTGCTGTGCAGGCTGCTGTGAAACCACAGTGTGGTCGAATGGTTGGATTTTCATCTGGAGAAGAGAATCCGCATGGAGTGAAAGCTGTCACCAAGGGCCAGAGGTGCGCTGTGGCTTTATGGTTCACATTGGATCCACTCTTCAGAGAGTTGGTGAGTCAGTCTGAAATGGTTTGATTTAAAGTCATTCTCTGATCCTGGTGTATTGCTGTTCTTCTGTGAGGGTAGTAACGTCCTCCAGTATAGATTCCTCATAATGACCCTGAACTGCATTGGCCTTTGTCCGTGGTTGTGCAGGTGCCATCACGGCTCCATACAAACTGATCCAATCGAGTTGGAAGGAGAAAAAAAATCGTTCTCCCCCAATCTAAAAATATCTATTGAGGTAATTCTCCCTTTGCACATCAGGATTTTATTGCTATGGACATTCTCCTGAATTACTTCCTGTGCCTGAGGGAATCCTTCCAGTGACAGGGTGGCTTTAGACCTTACAGAGGAACTTCGAACATGCTCTTTAGTCACAGAAGCATCCAAGAAAAATGGTAAACAACACCGGCAACTCTTTGTTGCGAAGCGATGGGGCTGTGTGGAGTGAGCCCCAGAGATTTGGATGTCTCAGAAACTACTTCACAATCCTGAAATAACTTCCTGATGATATGACTGCAACTGTCTTAAGCAGGAACTGAAACAGACACCTTCAAAAACCATACTGGTATTACACCAGTGCTGTGTGTAGTCCCTGTACTATTTGCAATCTCCCTAACAGTCTATCACCACATCAAAGATCAAATGCTAGCTCTAGTGATCAGTATCATGACCACTTGATGGGACATTCATACCTTTGTTGTCTCTAAGCCAACACATTACTTATCGCCATAGACATACCTGACCTGCAGGATGTTATGACTGCAGCATTATTTCCTAATCTGCACAAATTTTACAAGCCATTTGCTATCTCTTCATTTCTGCTCTAAAGTGGCTCAGGTCTGTCCCTGAAGGTTTGTAAAAAAAAAAAAAAAGAAATCTCACACCACCTCTGACCTGGTCAGCCAAATATTCCAGCTCCCAAACATAGTGAAGGAAGGAGAGACTGAAACGTGTTGAGCGCTTCCCATTCCTTGGCAATCACTTGTCACAAGGTCTGATTTCTCAACTTGTGCACCCCAGTCCGACACCGGCATCTCCATATCATGGCTACCATTGAATTGAGGTGATAGCTGATGACAGGATTATTGAAATGATCCCATTTGTTCCTGTTCTCCTTGCTTTGGCAGGGGCTCATTTACCTGAGGGACTCCAAGAAAGCTTCTCCACATTATTTCTCTTTGCTTTTTGACTGTTGTTGTACTTGTCATTCTCTTTACCAGTCCCAGGACATGGGGGTGTTGGGAGGGGAGTGGGAATATTGGGAGGCAGGGAGTATATGGGAGGGGATGTTGAGGGATAATGGGGAGACGCAATGTTGGGGAGGATGAAGTGTGGAGGGGAGGGGTGTGGGGCAAAGGGAGGGTATGAGGGTATGAGGGTATGTGGGGTGAGAGTGGCTGTAGAGGGCCAAGGGTGGAGGTGTTAAGGTTGATGCCCCAGCCATCGCCTCCCCCCCCCCCCCAATAATTGCCGATGCTACTGTAGCTGACCTGTGCCTTCCTGAAGGGGTTAATGCAGTGACTGAGTTCACATCAACTCAAAGGTCTCCTCCCTCCTTTTCATCCTCAGGAAAGAATCCAAGCTGATGAAGTGGTTGAGTTAATATCACTGGCTGAGAGACTGGATGACAAGCTCATCGTAAATCCAAGGGATGAATTGTGAAAAATTCTTCATTCACATATTTATTTAATCTTCCCAGCGACCTTAATAGAATGTTCTAATTTTCTGTACAAACTGTAAAATTAAGTTGTCCAGAGATACTTTCCCAGTGTTGATTTTTGCAAATTGAACTTTATTGTAAGCTGATAATTACCTTATGCTAGAGACTGAGTTCTGGGTTTTTCACTAATATTTGAACTGGATTTTGCTATCAGCTGTGAGATGTACGTTTTAACACACAGTAACCCTCAGGGAAAAGAACAAGACACTTTGTTCAAGTAGCTGTGACAGAGGTTGTACCTCACAACCTTGGGACTGGCTGTGTGCAGCCTCCAAATACACTGGCAGTGAGTCTGTGTACTTCCTGCTGCTCTGGGACTGTTGGGGGGGGGGGGGGGGGGGGGGGGGGGGGGCATAGGGGTGATGGAGGGGGAACCTTCAGCCCATTCTGATATTACCATCTGTTGGTGTAAAGGTGATGTTACTGGAGTGTATTCCCCTCTGAGAATCTACATATGAAATGCTGGTACTGGTAAATTGCACCATGAATCTGTGAGATTGTTGTCTCTTTTAGTGACCGAGACCTGTTGTCCTGAACTACTTTGGAGCTGTAGGTGAGCTGCAGATCCAGGCCAATGTGGCACCACGTTGTCTGCCCTCTAACATGGCAGACTACAGGCTCTGTGAAAACCTACCGCTGTCTGTGAGAGATGGACTCCTCAGTGACTGGTAGGAGATGTTAACTTAACAGGATTGAGTAACCACTGAGAGCTGCAAAGAGATGCTGACCCTGATGCAAAGAGCCCCTGGTAGCTGCTGTCTCAAGGTTCAGCTGCCAGTCATTGTGGAGAGGCAAGGAAGAGGTCAGGAAGATAACCCCTCTGTCCCGTGATGGGGGCTATATGCCGCACTTCTCCATCTCAGTCCAGCTGATGGCAGAAACCTGTAGTGATGGTCGAAAACAATGACATGAATTTTCTTTGAAGGGACGAGTAGATTAAACCTGCCTCTGAGGCGCACAGCCATGAGTCACTTTATACTGCCCACCTTAGCAATGGAAGATCAGAGACAAAGGAAAAGCTCTGACTACTGATGGGTTAGCGGTGACCAATCAGTTTAGTCAGCCATGCCTCCCAATATTCATACATTGCCACTGTCAGGGGTGGCTGCCAGTGTTAGGGAGGCAAGTGAAATGTCATCAGCATCTTGTGCTGTCTCCACCCCCAAAGATGGTGAGGCATTGCATCAATTTGATCATCCCACTCCATCAGAACAGGGATGGATGTGGACAGCTGGGTGCATTCACTTTTCCCCCCATTAGTAATAGTTGTGTTATCACATGAGAGCTGCATTACCATCGGGATGTAAACAAGGGCACCCACCCTGGTGAGCACAGCCGGTCAATCCCATGCAAGGCAAATGGACAACATACATTTGGATCTAATGTCTAGGAAACCTTGGCTCCACAGTTTGTCCAGAAGCTGTCTCCACTGTGGTATGAAGGTCCCACAAAAAGCAGGGTTGGCCATTTTGAATTCCTTCCTGTTGGGTCTGAACTCCAACTTACCAACGGCACCATATTCATCACTCACACTGAGAGCCAATGGTTGGGTTATTGTCGGAAATGGATTAAAAAATTCACTCAAAAGCAATGCATCTTTTGGGATAGTTTGGCACGGGGGAGCTTTAAACTGTAACGAATCCTCTGCTGGACCTGTTCTGGGAGTGTTTAATGGGGAAAGTGTAGAGGGAACTTTACTTTGTACCTAACTCTGTGCTGTATCTATCATGGGAGTGTTTACTCGGGGCAGTGTAGGGGAAGCTCTATTCTGTATCAGACCCCATATTTTATCTGTCCTGGGAGTTTTTGGGGTCCCTGTGCACTTGAAATCAAAAACTTTCTACTGCTCAACACTAATGGGCCATGGCTTAAAAATGGAAATTTTGCTATTTAAAGGTGTTGTATAAAAATTGTGGTCTGACTTCCTGAGGGTAATTGTGCTCACTCTTCAATGGGAAGTAATACATGATATTGTGGTTAAGAAAATATTATTTAAGAAAGAATGGAAGGAGGCTCAAATGGAGCATGAACACCAGCAGGGACTGATTGGGCCAAATGGCCTATTTGGTGCCCTGTGTCATCTGTAACTGACCCTTGATCTGCTCCCCTCCCCTCCCCACCCCCCACCTTGCTGTCTGTCTGAATTGCTCCACCTCTTCCCTTCTCTGTACCAATCTTCTCTTGCTGCTTGCCCCATTCAGTTTGTGTGTCTACTTTGTTCTTATTCATTTTGATTTTATTCTAAGGTGCTTCAGCAGCTGGGAGGGTCCTGAGGTATGTTCGTTGTGTTATTATGCTTTGATGCAACTTTTACTGAATTCCAGTTTTTTCAACACCACAAGAAAGATGAGAAAACGTGATCCTGCAAATAAAATGTTGAAATTTGCTGTACTCTATGTCCAACTCAATTGCACATGGCTTTATACTTTGTGGTTGACTGTTTGATGTGTGGATGTGGGGAGTGTGTAGGTACTACACTGCACTGGCAGCCTGGACTTTTGTGTTGGAAGTAACTTGCTGATACTTGACTGCACTGATTCTTTGATTCACAGGCAATAGAGCTATTAGCTGATCCACTGTTTGTTATATAAAGATACAAGTCAATCTGTTGGACAATCTAGGAATTCTTACAACCATCTGCCGCCTTAAGGGTTGAAGAGATTAATAGCGCAGTAGAGGAGGCTGTTGTTTGGGAGAGGGGAAACAGGCTTGCAGCATTACAGGACAACTATTTAAGTGACAATACCCAGAGATGGATAGCAAGGGGTAATATTTACAAACATAGAAAAAAGTAGCAAATATGGTCAAAGGGGCAAAATGGTAAGGTGGCAAAATTAACGGCTTTTTATTTCAATGCATTGTATTTGGAACAAAGTAAATGAATTAATTGCACAAATACAGATTAATGGGTATGATCTTTATAGCCAAGGAGATCAAAGCTAAGAACTAAATACTCAGGGGTATACGACTTGTTGAAAGAACTGGAAGGAAAGGATGGCAGGTTGCTTTATTCAAATGAGGTTGAATAAACAGAAAATAATCTTGCATTGGAAGATGTAGAATCCATGTGGGTGGAGGTAAGAGGGGATAATGGGAAGGCCAGACAATGGTGGGATTAATCTATGGATGTCCTAACAGTAACTATATTGCAGGGCAGAATCAATTGGGAGATAATGAGGGCATATAATAAAAGCAGTACATTAATCATGGGTGATTTTAATTTTCATCTAGATTGGTAAAGTCAGCTTGCCAGAGATAGCCATCAGGAAGAATTCATAGTGTGTATTAGGGCTAGTTTCCTCGAACAATATGTAGATGCACTTGTTGAGATCAAGCTATTTTGGATCTGGTGATATGTAATGAGGCAGGTTTAATATATGACCTCAGTAATCCCCTAGTCTCAGTAAGATCCCCTAGGAAATAGTGACAATGACATTATACAATTTAGCATCCTGTTTGAGATTCACAACTTGGCTGGAGACAACGGAGCTCAGCTTAAATAACAGTAATTATAGGAGAATAATGGCACAGTTGGCTGAAGGAGACCACAGAAAACATTTAACAGAAAAGATGCTTGATGAACAATAGCAGACAATTAAGAAAAAAGTCATGCCTCACACAAAGATATAGCCCAACAAGGAAGAAGGGTTCTAGGAAAGGGATTTTCTGACCATTAGGAAACCTGGAAGTTAAGAATAGTACCACATTGGAAGAAAAAGCAAACAATGTAGGAAAGATTAATGGTAATTTAAAGGATTGGGAAATTTTTTTAAAAAATATGTGATGACAAAAAAAAACTTTGAGGATAAACTTGCAGGTAATATAAAATGGATAGTAAGAGCTTCTACAAATACATAAAAAGGAAGAGAGAGGCCAAAGTGAAAAGAGGAGAATGAGGCTGGAGAAATAATTCCATGGGGAATCTGGAAAGGGCAGAGGAATTGAATAAATACATTACATCAGTCTTCATGGCAGAAGACACTAATTGCATTCCAAAAACATTAAATCAAGGAGCAAAGGTTGGGGTGGGGGGTGGTGGTGGTGAGGTGATGTAGTGTGTGAATAAATACAATATCTATCAGCAGAAATAAAGTATAATGGGATCAAATGGGGCTAAGGGCCAACAGGTCTCCTGGGCCTGACCAGATGCATTCCAGGATATTAAAGGTAGTAACTACAGAGATAGTGGATGGTCTGGTAGGAACCTTCCATGCATCCTTAGCTTCTGGTAAAACCTCAGAGGATTAGAAAATAGCTAATATAAACACCCCTATTAAATATGGAAGGAGATATTAAAAAGGCAACTTATTGCCCTGTTAGTTTAACATCTGTTCTTGAGAAAATATTGCAATACATTATAAAGAATATAGTAGCGAGCATTTATAAATTGATAACATGACCAATCTGGGTCAGCATAGCTTCATGAAGGGGAAAGCATGCCTGACAAATTCATTAGAATTTTTTTGTGCAGGTAGCAATCAGACTAGATAAATGGAAACTAGTAGATACAATGTATTTGGATCTCTAAAAGGTATTCAATGTAATACCACACACAAGGCTTCTTATTAAGATAAGTCAATGATATTGGAGAGAGTTAGCCAATCCTCTATCCAAACTAATATACTGTGTCGCTGTTGTTCATCCTGACATCTCTCAGCATAATGCAAAGCCTTGTCTGTTCTCCCATTAATGTTCTTTAGCTATTGCATGTTTATAGCGAATAAAAAGACAGAGAGTGGGATAAGTAGGCACAATTAGGATGGCAGCCTGTAGCTAGTGGAGTGCTAGAGGAGTCAGTACTGAGGCCACAATTATTTAGAATGTATGTTAATGATGTGAATGAGAAAAGCAAATGTACTATAGCCAACTTTGCGAATGACAAAAATAGGTCAGAAGGCAAAAGGTGGAAATGGTGTAAAGAATCTACAGGTTAAGTGAGTGGGCAAAAATCTGGCAGATGGAATAGCATGGAAGAAAACGTGAGTCTGTGCATACTTTTTGCAGGCGGTATCTCCGTATGCTTCCTCAAGTTCAACATGTTGAAGGAAAGGCAAACGGACTTCATTTCAAAGGGAATTGATCAAAAAGAGGGGAAGTCTTGCTAAAGCTATACAAGGCATTACTTAGACCACACCTAGAATACTGTAAACAGTTCTGGTCCCCTGACCTGAGGAAACATTTGCTGGCACTGAGGGCAAGCCATTGAAAGTTCCAAAATTGATCCCAGTATGGAGAGATTTTATGAGGGGATGTTGAGTTGGTTGGGTTTATATTTACTATGTTTAGAAGAAAGAGAAATGACTTATTGAAACATAGAAT